CAGTGGAAAATTCCAGATGTTTGTAGCTCAACTGACACACTGACAGCTATGGAAGCTATCCTTTGTGATGAATAAGGAGACTTTATAGCTCCATATTTTCCTGAAGAAAGAGCTGTCCCACAGGCACATTATGTAAAAGGGCCATATATACTTTGGTCTTTTGGAGACAAGGTCTCCCTGTAGCCCCAGCTGGCCCAGAACTTGCTATGTAGGTCAGGCTGGCCTTGAACTCATAGAGATCTGCCTGCCTCTACCTCCTGAGTGCTGGGATTGATTACAGAAGTGTGCCACCACACCCAGCTTTACCTTTTCTTTTAAAAAAATATTTTATTCATTTTATGTGGATGAGTGTAATGCCAGCATGTAGGTAAGTGCACCCATGTCATGCAATGCCCACGGAGGTCAGAAGAGAGTGTTGGATCCCCTGGAACTGAAGTTAGGATGGTTGTTAGCTGCCATGTGGGTGCTGAACCAGGGTCCTCTGCAAAAGCAGCCAGTGCTCTTAAGTGCTGAGCCATCTCTTTCCAGTCCCTATTTACCTTTTAGATAAATTCCTAGTTCCCCTTACATCCAAGGTCAGGGAAGCAACCACAAGTAACAGGAAGGAAGACAGCATTTCTAGTTAGAAGCTGGGTCTTGTCTTGTACTCTGCTGGTGGGCTTACATGGCTCCATTTTTCTTATTTGGGTGTGTGTGTGTGTGTGTGTGTGTGTGTACATGTTCACCTGTGTATATGTATGTGAATGCTTGTGGAGGCCAGTGGTCAACACTGTCTTCCTCAATCGATCTTCATCTTATTTTCCCAGCTCTCTGAACCTGGAGCACACCAATTGTCTAGGCTGGCTGGTCAGTGAGCTCCAGGGATCCGCCTGTCTCCGCCCTCACCCACTCCAGTGCTGGGGTTACAGACACTTGTAGCAGAGCCCAATTTTTTATGTGAGTGCTGGAGATCTGAACTCAGGACTTCATGCTTGTGTGTGTGGAGAGCATTTTACTGTCTGAGCCGTTCCTCCAGTACCTGGAAACGTAATTTCTTTTTTTTTTTTCTTTCTTTCTTCCTTCCTTCCTGGAAAAGTAATTTCTTTTCTTTTCTTTTCTTTCCTTCCTTCCTTCCTTCCTTCCTTCCTTTTTTCCTTCCTTCCTTCCTTCCTTCCTTCCTTCCTTCCTTCCTTCCTTCCTTCCTTCCTTCCTTCCTTCCTTCCTTCCTTCCTTCCTTCCTTCCTTCCTTCCTTCCTTCCTTCCTCTTTTTTTATTTTTGAGGTAGGGTCTCCCTATAGACCCAGCTGACCTGGAACTCACTATGAAGACCAGGCTGGCCTTATAGAGATCTGCCTGCCTCTGCCTTCCAAGGCCTGTTTATCTCATGACCTAATAAGTTCATACCTAGAAATTTAAGGGAAATTTATTTAAGGAAATAAAAATTTCTAAGGAAATCAAGCTGAGCATATAAAGCAAAAATTCATAAACAGTGGCGGATAGTAAAATTAATGATATATGGTCATAACAAGTCTTTTAATAATTATATATATATGCTTGTATATACATGGAAACATATTCACAACATATTGATGTCTTCAAAAGTGTAAATAAAACTAGTTCAGGTATGGTGGTGCACATATATAATCCCAGCCCTTGGGATCAGGAGTTCAAGGTCATCCTCAGCAATATAGCAAGTTTGAGGCCAGGTACATGATACCATCTCGTAAGATACAAGAGACTATCTCAAGAAACAACGCAGTACTACCCCCTCCCACATCCCCATGACTACTACTACCAAACTCAAACTAATTAACGCGGGGTATTCAGGAACTGCTTTCTCATTTTGTTGAGAACTACACAGGAAATGTGGATTCCTTCATACACACAGCTTCATGAAAAGGTACTGCCCTTAGAAAAACTCAGAACAGTGACTGGCAACTGGTATGAGACACTGGAATCAGCTGGACTGGAATACTGGTGGGCCCATCCCCCAAGACTGTGGTTGTGGTTTGAGGTAGTTCTGGCATTACAGGCCTTTTAGGTTTTGAAGGCTGAACTCTTCCCTCAGCGTCACAATAGGTGTGGGAGTTTCCCACTCACTTCCTGTGCCCCATTCAGTAACTAGACAGAAATGACTGTCGTGGCTGGTAATAGATTTGCAAGTTCTCCAGAATGTATGAGCATGTGTGAACCTGCCCCAGATGCTTCCCCAGGAAACAAATGCATGGTGTGGGGAAGGGTGTGTATTTTGATACCAGTTTGGCAACAAGATCAGAGCCCTGAAGCACTGAACACAGGCCAGGTGCTCCCCAGTACTCTTTTGGCAGGTGTCATGGACTTGCTTCTGACTGAAGCAAGCCATCAATCCACAGGCCAACAATATCCAAACAGACACTGAATTCATGGATGAGATTGAACAGATCAAACCAACCTTAACTGAATGAGCCTATAAGCCAGTTAGTGTACTAGAGGCTTATTGTAAAGGTCTTGCTCTCTGGGTCACTGATTGCTCCTGGCCCCATGGCTGCCACAAGCCTCAGCCTGCCACTTGTCTGTTGTCCAAAGGTGGACTTTCAGAAACACTTCCTTTCCATCCTGTTTCTTAGATTAGGTAGGGAATACACACAAAACAGTGTATGGCATGTATGTGGGGGCATATGTGTGTGGGTGCATATGCACGCATGTGCCTATTGAGGCCAGACATTGACACTGGGCGTCTTCAATGGCTTTCCACCTAACTTTTATTATTTGTGTGTGTATGTGCCCATGTAGTCCTCATGCATCACAGTAAACACTACCCCAAGTCCAGCCTACTTTTGTTGATTTGGTATATAATTAAAAATTCTCCCGTGAAAAAATTTCAGCTGCACCTCCTTAGTAGCAGGCTAACTTCTAATTCTCCAGAAATGCACAGGTTGATTTTTATGTCTGTAGTGGTTGGCACTGCCTGTTTCTGATGTTGCAGAACTGAGAGGCCAAATCTCCACAGACTTCAGTGTCTGATAAATAGTAAAGGGAACAGCTTTGGGCCTTCTTTCCAAACAATAAATCTTGGCTAAATAAATGTTTTATAGCAAACATCCATGCATTGGGCTCCCAGTGTCAGTGAGCTACATTGAAAGCTGTTTACATCAATATATCACCCCCCTCTGCTCCTGCCCTCTTTTTGAGACAGTTTCTCCCGTATCTCTGTGTAGTCCCAGCTGGCCTGGAACTTGCTATGTAGATCAGGTTGGCCTTGATCTCAAGAGATCCACCTGCCTGTGCCTCCTGAGTGCTGGAATTAAAGGCATGCGCCACCATACCCAGAATCAACATTTTTCTTGGGTTGCATTGGTGGAACTGATTTTAAAGATCAGCATGGGGCAAGCAGAGGATATGTTAGCTGTCCAGAGGTATTCTTTTTAACAGCTGGTCCCCAGTTCTAAGCTGTTGTGGACCCTTGGTAGATAGTAATGAATGAGACTAGAGTTGTGAGGATGCTGGAAGACAGGGACATGGTGAAAGCCTGAACAGTGTTCTCAGGGCAATCTGACTCTGACCTGTGGCAGAGAATCCAGTCCAACCAGATGTTCCCCGAGCCTCCTGGCAAACCCAACAACAGTGGGTCTGTGTTTGCTTTAGGTCAAATATCCTTTAGGTGTCAGAGGACAGACACTGTAGATAGAGCACAAGCGCCTGAGTGTTTCTAGAATCTCAATGTAACAGCCTGCTTTTTGAGGCAGGGACCCTGTAGTCCCAACCGGCCTAGAACTTGCTATGTAGACAGGGCTGGCCTTGAACTCACAGATCCACTTGCCTCTGCCTCCCAAGTGCTGGGATTAAAGGCCTGCACCACCACACCTGGCTGAGACCCAGATTCTTAAAACCAAAATAGCACCCACCAGTTGGGTGTGGTGGCCTTTAATTCTGGCACTCAGGAGGCAGAGGCAGCTCAAGGCCGGCCTGTTCTACATCGAAAGTTCTAGGCGAGCTAGGGCTACGGGTAGACCCTGTCTCAAATAAATAAATAAATATATAATAAAATAAATTAATAAAAATAAATAAAAATAATTGAGGGAGTGGTGCATATTTGTAATCTCAAGGAACTCAGGAGGCTCTCAAGTATCAGGAAGTTTCAGTTTTAATGAGTTCCAGAGACCCTGTCTCAAAAATACAACAAAGTCACGATTTTATTCCTTTTTAGGAAGTGTTATTAAGACAGGGTCCTGCTATGCAGCCCAGGCTAACCTCAAACTCGAGATGCTGGGATTATAGGCATGAGCCAAGGCACTTGGAATAAACTGATTCATATGGATCATTTACCCCCAGAATTATAGAAATTAGTGTCCACCTTTAAAACGTTGGCTTTGGGTACTTAATATTCACTACGAAGAAGTTGCCCTTCTTCCTTCCCTGAACCTTGCTGGTATCCCTGAGCAGTATTCCCCCCCCCCCTTTCCCCCACTTACAAAATGGGTTTGAAAAGGCTTATTAGTAAAGCCAGCCCTCTTTGCTCAGCAAATGAACCGTGCACATCGAATGCTCGAGGTGCGGCGTTTAGAGAAAGCAGCTTCTTGGGGAGCTTGGGGGTGTGTGTGGTGGGGTGGTGACGGGTGAGACAAGGGTCTAATTCTAGACCGGAAGGCCACAGGAGACCCTGTCTCCGAAAACCCAAACAAGGGGAGCTTGTGCAGAAGTCTGAGGCTCTAGGTCAGAGGCTCCGGAAACAAGACGGAAGACCGCGAGGGGCCTAGCCCCCGGGGGGCAACTATTTCCCACCAGTGAAAAGTGCCCGCACTCTAGGGCAGGTCCCCCGGGAGCGGCGCACCGCGTCCTTGGAGCGCAGCCCCGGTTCGGACCCAGGGAGGCCGGGCGGCCGGCAGTTATTCCCGACATGCTCCTTAGTAGGATTTCAAACCCTTGACAACCACCACCTCCCCGCCTTCCCCAGCAACAGGCGGTGGTACGCGTCCCATTGGCCGCAGCCCGAGCCGCCGCGCGCTGATTGGCCGCGGGGCCTCCGGCCCCTCTTCCGCTCCCGCTACAGCCTCCATTTTGTCGGTAGAGGCCGAGCGCTGGGTCCGGGACGCTGGAGAGGTCGGCGGCTGGCTGGTGCTTGTGGCTGTGTGGGCTCCGCGCGTCGTCTCTCCCTGAAAAGGGAGGCAGGCTTGGACTTCGGGGTAGCAGCGGTCGGAGCTCGAGGTCTGTGAGTGTGGCGCGCGGCCATGTTGGGCCCCGTCCCTATGGGCGGGCGCGGGCAGGACACCCGGGACCCGCCACTGCACACAGCCGCGAGTCCGCACCCTATGCCCGCCTCGGGAAGTGCTTGGGAACGTAGTGTCTTTGCGATCAGGGGAAACCGCGACGCTGGTTTAGAAACGTCAGGTGGCGGGTGAAGCCAGGAGGGGTCCTGCCTGGGAGGCCCAGCGCAGAGCCCGGAAGGCCGCTTGGGGCGGTGGTGCTGGGTGAGGTCGCAAGTGGAAAATTCCGATACTTCAAAAACACGCTTTTTAGGAAAGGTGTGGATAAGCCGATTTGATGTGGTTACAGATGCGAACTTTCTTTGTTCGACTTAAACAACTTGTACTCAGCACTAGGAGGCAGAGGCAGGCAGATCTCTGAGGTTGAGGCCAGCCTGGTCTACATAGCAAGTTCCAGGCCAGCTGGGGCTCCAGGGTCATCCCAAGAAAAAAACAAAAACTCTTTAAGATTTGCAGACAGGCCTTCCAAAAAAAAACCAAAAATCCTCAGGAGTTTTAAGTTAGCAGTTAACAAGGTCAGAGCAAGCCATGTTCGGATGCCTAGAATTTTCTAGAAACCTTCAAGGAGCAGCCGTATGGGAATCATCTACTGTAGCAATTCTAAACGAACTTTCTCTCCTGTGGTTTTAAAGTAATGTTTGCTTTTGTAGCTAGGACTTTTTTCGAATTTGTGTGCTGAGGAGACTCAGATGTTGGCCTCAGCTCCTCGGCTGAACTCGGCAGATTGGCTCATGAAAACTGCACTGAGACAAAGGAAAGGGTCTGGCAGAAGGCAACATCTATTATCCTGGGCTTGGCAACAGGGAAGAGGACAAGCAGTGCAAACCCTGCGATCTGAAAAGCAGACGGAAAGGTATAAAAATGTGCATTTTAGTGCTGCGAAGATTTTATGGTGGAGCCAGCTTAAACCACTCATACAGGATTGCAGCTGTTCCTGGTAGTGGTGGATGCCTGTGATCCCAGCTCTAGAGGCTGGAGTAGGACTGCGTGGCAGGCTAGAATAGAGATCCAGACACGACTGCATCCAGGTTTGTGGGGTCTTAGGGAAGGTAATACAGGCTGTATACATGTTTTTGAGGTAGACAGCCAGAAGGGACAGACCTAAACCCAGGTGATTTAGAGTAAGGAGGATATACAAAGTTCAAGACAGTTTGGTGAGATCCTATCTCAAAGCTCCAAACAAGGGGCTCAGTGGTAGAGTTCTTTGTCCCTAGATGCTAGCTTGAGGTCCCAAGTTAAAACAAAAATTTTGGTGGCAAAGAGGTTGAATAGGGCCGTATTTTAGTTCTTTTGCCAAGATTTGTGTTGGAGCTAGAGAAAAATCTGTTAATTGAAATTTTACTGTGTTTACTTACAGGTGACAAAAAAGCTGAAGATGGGTGGTGGAGAGAGGTATAACATTCCAACCCCTCAATCTAGAAATGTTAGTAAGAACCAACAACAGCTGACTAGACAGAAGAACAAGGATCAGAATTCCCAGATGAAGGTTGTTGTTCACAAGAAAAAAGAAAGAGGACATGGTTATAACTCAACAGCTGCATGGCAGGCCATGCAAAATGGGGGAAAGAACAAAAACTTTTCAAATAACCCAAACTGGAATACTAGCTTATCAAGTCCCAGCTTGCTTTTTAAATCTCAAGCTAATCAGAACTATGCTGGAGCCAAATTTAGTGAGCCGCCATCCCCAAGTGTTCTCCCCAAGCCACCAAGTCACTGGGTTCCTGTTTCCTTTAATCCTTCCGATAAGGAAATAATGACATTTCAACTTAAAACTCTACTTAAAGTACAGGTATAAGATGAAGTAGTAATGTTTAAATTCAGTCATGTTTACATATAGCCACCAGTTGGTCTGAAATTCATTAGGGAATTGTGTAAAATTGCTAATTTACAGATATAATCAGCTATTATGTGCTCTGCACTGTGATGTAATAGTGTCCGTGCAACTTAGAATAACTAAACAATTGTACTCGATGGAGTTGCTAACTAAATTCAGGTTTACATGGTGAGAAATGGTAATCTTTTCTATTGTCTCGGAAGAATTTTAAGATTCATTGGTTTAATGTTAATAGACTTATCTGCAGTGAATTGGGTGACAGGTGTCAGTTCAGATATACAAAGGAAAACAAGTGGATATTTCAGTTAAATGTTCTAGGGAGACTATAACAACCATTAATCTACTGCCAAAACACGGGAAATTTTTTTGGGGGGGGGGTCTTTTTTTTGAGACAGGGTCTCCTTGTAGCCCCAGCTGTCCTGGAACTCACTATGTAGACCAGGCTGGCCTTGAATTCACAAAGATCTGCCTGCCTCTGCTTCCCAAGTGCTGGGATTAAAGGTGGGCACCACCACACCCGGCAGGAAGTTTTCTTAATGGTTGCATCTTAATAAATTGTAGTGGTGAATGTATAAAGGGCAGTTGGGACTTACTAGAATGAGGTGCAGTGGTCATTTCTTAAAAGCAGTAGATAGGCATTTCACAGACCAGATGCACCAATACTTTTTCAGAAGCAGAAATAGTGTTGGAGGTCACTGAATAGCTTTCAGAAGGAAATTTTGTATTGCACGAGCTATTTTGGGTGATCTGGTCTCATCCCTACAAAGCTTGCTAGAACCAGGGAGCTTTATGATGTGAAAAATCTAAGTACCTAGGGAAGAAGAGCCATGTAAATTATGTAATAAGCTTGTAACATATGTAAAGTTTTCTTGGCCTTTGTCCTATGAAATAGACTATTTTTAATATGAATTTGATGAATGTAAGACCATGAACTGTTTTTACACTACAGTCCCCAGTTGATTTTAAAGACTGCCCCCATGTTTAAGTGTCAGTGTGTAACTGATTTGATTGTACATTATACTTCAAAGTAAATCTTATTATTGTAAGTTTTATAACCAAAAAGATATTGTCTGCATTAAACATTTCCTATTTTTGAGAGATGTAAAATGCAGCACAAGGCTCCTGCTCCCCCCATCTTTTAAACCCAAAGATTTATTATAACAAGTTATTTTTCATTGTTACAAGCAAAATAGCTCCATTTCTTCAAATAAGTTCAGATGAGATACTGGCCGAATTAAACACTGAATATCCTCAAGGACAAATATGTAGTCTTAAAGCACATAATCTTAATTTGGAACATGAAATAAAAATTTACCCCCTCAGTAGTTTGTTTTTATTTAAATAACTTATGGCTGCCTAATCTTGTGATAGAACTGTTGGCTTGAAGAGGCTACTAATTTGCTGTTTTGATAGTGATGCAGTTACTTTAGCTGTAACTTCTTTTCCTGCAGTTAATAGTAAGACACTCCCCCCCAACCAAACTGTTTTTCCTACTTCATGAAAAGAACTTAAATTGGCAAAAATTCTTAGTTCTACAAGACCTTTGGAAGGAAAGCAAAACCCTGTGGATAGATTTCTGAAGTGAGGGCAGCTTAAATTAGTAACCCTAACAGCTCCAGGAAAGCCGTACTTTCTCATTCATGCAAATGGCAGGAAATATTTAGGAGGTTTTGTTCCCAGTGCAATTTCCATGAACAAGGCAAATGATGTCAAATTCTTTGTACCACAGGATATACATTAATTTTTGGTATACACATTAAATACAGCAATATAATTAGATTTCTAGTTTGGGAACTGATTAGTTGAATGGAGGGAAGAAAGAAATGTGCATATAGCGTGAATAAAGGGGTCAATGATACAGACCTCTCAAAGCTGGGCACTGTAATTCACACCTACAATCTCATTCATTACTCAGGAAGCAGAAAGTGCAAATTTGAGACATAATGTCAGAATAGCAAGGAAAAGAGGTACTGATGAAGTCTGCTAGTTGTCAAAGTATGGGAACATGAAAGCAGTAGAGAGAACCTATTCTATTGGTTAGGGCTGCTGAAGGTAGTCGTGAGCTTTCAACAGGTCATAACTACACATGTTTACAGTATAGTGTGTAGTATGACAGACTCCATGACCATAACCTTACAACTCAGTAAGTACAAAGTGTGTATACGTGAGCTCAAAGGGTTCTGGTAAGTTTTGCAGCTTCCTAGTGGTTTTCGAGGAAGGGGGGAGACACGACACATTTTCATAGTTATTTAAGCCAAAGAGTATATCTCTAAAGTCTGTTGCAGAAACAAAAATGACTATTGTAGTAGTCATGTCTGTAAGGTTCAGCAAAATCTTTAAAAAAAAAAAAAAAAAACAAGATTTATTTTTTTTAGCTCCTAGACCAGTTTTATTATTTCACTCTCCAGCATTCAAAGAAATGTGATCTGCAAAGGACTAGATTACAAAGGCCTTTACTTCTTTACAAACTACTGTTAATTATCAATGAAATAAATTTACATGCCTCACTTTTTATACCAAAGAAAAATCTCCACTTTTATCACAAGGGTGAATGGTGACCTGCTTTACAAATAGATAAATATAACACTGTTAGAGGAAAAGACCCAAAGACAAAGTCTTTTTCCCATAATGACTAGCAGAATGTCTTCTCAAAAGTTAATAGTTGAAGATAAGCTGTTTGCTTCACCTATTAAGTCATTACTGGAAATTGAGAATGTTTCACTCCTTGGGACCTTTAAAGGTTTGAATGACACTGATTTCTGACTATCGTTCAAGTCACAGCCCATTACTTCATACTCTTAAGTCGGAACAAGGTGAAAAAGCAATACAACAAGAAATTGAAATTTGGGAAGCCAGGCCATTAGACTTGGTGAACTACAAGAGCTTGAGATCTTTACTCATTCAGAAAAGGAATCCATTGTTAACAATGAGGAACGAATGTATGCAAAAATGCCTGTCCGACAGTAGGTATTCCACAAAAGCCTACTTTCTCATTTATAAAATGGTGTTAAGTTCCCATTTCCAGGAGTGATTTTAGGGTTAAATAGGACTATCTGAAGCATCCAGCTTGGCACAGTAAATGCTTGATAATACTGATACCCTTTAATATACACAGAAGCCACAGCAGACAGACTAAAACAATTCACTGTAATGGCTGCCAGAAACACACGGGCCTTTCTGATTTACCACATTTAAAACTCAGCTCTCAGGCTAGGCGGGGTGACACATGCCTTTAACCACTGCACCTGAGAGGCAGAAGGCGGCGGTTCTCTGATCTCCAGCCTGATCTACATTAGCCAGCTGGGTGGGGCTACAGGGAGACCCTGTCCCTGTCTCCAAAAACGACCCAAACTTTAGTCTTAGCTCTCAACACTTGTGGGGTTGTGCTTGTAAGTGAACAAGGTATTTTCCAACTAAATGAAACCCAAGCAGTAAATGTTGGCAGTACATAAAACTAAAAAACAAAAACCCCAAACAACTGAATATGCAATTCAATTCTCTCCGCTGGAAGGCTTTAGCCTCAATTTGAAAGGAAATGGAGAGAGGTAGAGGGCAAAATATCTATCAACCACACAAATACTGCTTAGAAAATAAACCCCATGGAACTTTACCTGTAAAAACCAAGGCTAATAATTATGTAAAGGTATAAAATAAAATACATCTTGTAACAAAAGCTTTTAATTTTACTTGAAATAAGCTCTAAATTCAGTTGTATCGATTTTATTGTCCCCTTGAAAAAAACATTTCCAACTTGATTCCAAATAAAAAAAAATTAAGTCAATTTATGAACTATAATCTTGTACCTTCAGCCTGTGTGATTTTGGGCAGGCTGAAATTTAATACAGATACAAATAACCTTCATTGTACCTCCCTTCATTTATGTGTACTTTACTACATTTAAAAAAGTGTTATAAAGGCTTATACTGGTTGCAGATTTTCACATAATTTAAAATGTGACAAAAATACAACGAAATTCATGTGATGGAATCAATGTATGGTTAACAAGCTTCATATCCTAATAAGTAACTAAGGAATGCAAAAACATTTTGTGACACTATAAAAGTTATTTATTCACTATACACAGAATATGTCCCTTATAAAATGTACATGTAGATTAAAAAGTAATTTGGTGAACTTTTTCAATTACAGAAGATACTAAATCCATTGGGATGATAGCTGTCTGCCTCTAAATAATTATAGCACCCAGGGTCTGCTTTAATGCAAAGTTACTGATTTGGGGGACTATCTTCTATTATTTGACTGAGGCAGAGGTAACTAATTAATACTACTTAAATATAGTCACAGTAAGTCAGTTTATCACAGATAAATTTTTTCATTATTTGTAGAACTGGGATGCCAATATTTTTAAATGGCAGACAATCAAAAAATTACTTATCTTTGATAGTAGACTGGGTCTTGTGATTACATTAGGATATGAATGGTATGAAATAATTGTCGTAATACACCTCAAGCAAAATGAGGCCATATTATAATGATTCACTAGATTGTGTGCAGGAGACATTTACTAAATTATCTATTCTCTCCAATTATCCAGTATAATGTTCTGCCCACAGTAAGGGTTCAAGCAAGAGGTGAGACGAAATGGGCGCCCTCAGGTAAGATGTCAAGTATAAGTGGAATTAACTTGGGAAGAGTGGTTGAAGATGTAAACTGCATATGGTATACAGATAAACTCAGATGCCAATAAAAGTTAAGCAGAAAATACTGGCACTGGAATAAACAAAGCCAAGGCCTGCCAATAATGGCATAAATGGAACTGATTTTCAAGAAGACAACCAAGAAAAAGTTTATATTGGACCATACCTTTTCCCATCTGATTCAGTTTGAGACAGACCAGTACAGGCACTGTTAGAGGCTATGGCTGTCTTCCTTGATACTCAGACATCCTAGGTCCCAACAGCTTATCATGGATTTGCTACCCATGAGTCAATATAAACCTATTCATCTTTAGGGGTTAGTTTCCACAAGTACAAAGTTGAATTTCCTTTTATTTGTCCTAAAATGCTTACTTTCAAACTTGAAGGGACTTCAATTATTTCCATGTAGTTTCGATAATTCTGTTATTTTCAGACCAGAGTCAAAATATTCGTACAGTATTCATACTGCAGCACCTTCCACCCACCCTTTGGTCGCTTGAACTGCCCTTCTTTGGTTCTTTTTCCGCTTTCAGATCTTTCTTGAAGTGTAGTAAGCAGAACTGTACTGGGTATTCCAGCTGCAGTTTGGTCTTAAATAAAAGAAGGATGTTTGTCAGTTTGGTTTTCTTTATTCTTCTCTGTGGTATACAGGGTTTTGTTAGTTGAACTGGATGTAGCAGCTTACTGGGCCAAATTTTCAAGAGAATAGTACAGTGGTTCCCATGTCTTTTTCCCTAGGCTGTAACTTAGCAGCTCAACTCTACCGAGCACCTGTCCTTTCTCACTGAAGCATTATCTCTCACTTTTCTTCTTGCTCACTTGGCTTAAAAAAAAAAAAAAAAAAAAAAAGCAGCATAAAAAGAGAGGTGAAGTTTCAGCCTTCACTTGAGTGTTGACTATTCTATTCAATAGTGGAGAGCCCAGTGCCAGACACACAGCAGATAGCAACTGTGGAACTCAGCAATATGATCCAAGATTTGCTGAAAACTGTAAAAATCTTCAGGTTAACAGCAGGATCCTACTTTGAGTTCAACTGTAGCATAGTCCTGTGAAGCTGTGGGGCACACCATTTTATAAGCAATATATAAGCTGCTCAATTTAAAGTCTTTGACAAAGCAAAGCAAAAACAAACCAACATCAGGTGGTCTAGCTCTATACAGAGGCTGAAAAAATTTTATTGGCTTATCTCTTCATTGAATTTTTAAAAAATTAAGGACCAAATTTTGGGCTCAAATCTTGGCTCTGCCAACTACTTTTTAACTTTGTGCCCCAGTTTCCTATCTGTGATATAAAGAGGGTTGGGGGACATCTTTCTCACAGGGTTTTGAGAACATTAAGCCAACAGTCTATTGAACAGTGTCTGGCACATCATAAATATCAATTTATCGGCTGTAATTGTGACTGTAAAATATCTAGAATTCAATCCACAAAATCTTTACTCCCTGAAAGTGGTTATCATTTAAATGCTCACCAACATTCAACGAAAGATTTAAAAATCATAAACATACGGTCCAATATATCTTAAGGGGCTAAGAGCAGAATTATTTGATCTAACAATAAAAATCTAAATCTATGATTAGCTTTCCCAATTTTTTATTTTAATGTCTATCAACACTACCAAATAACCTCATATTATTTTACCCAAGAGGTTTGAAGAGCAATCATGGAACAACTTTGACATAAAGAATCCTTAAGTACTACGTTAAAGATGTAGATTTCTGGCAAGTTCTATCATTTCCAAAGTAGGTTAGTTGTGCCTAATGCCAACACCAGTTAAAATATTTCTAAATCTACAAGGGATTATTTCCATTATTTTAGAGTAATATCCAAATACTATAATAATTCCAGTTAATCATTATTTCCTTCATTTTGTTTTTATTATAGCATGTTTGCTTAATTTACAGCAAGCAGAAAATAAGCTGGGTCTTGTTTTGATCCAAACATTGATGTTTTAGAGGTTGTACACAATATTTGTTAAAAAGAACATATAAAAATACCTTTTTAGAAGCTTCTATAAGAAAGAAAATACA